TATTCCACTTTATTCATTATCTCTTTTAATCCTTTCATTCTTTGTCCCTTACGCATATACATATATATACTCTTTGTTTTTTCTTTAAGAGATTATTATTATATATATATTCATTATTTCATATTTTGTCATTTTAATATATTTTCCTAGTATTTAACTTGAGTTAATACCCAAAATAGTCCCTCAACTATGTTGTAATTACCAATTTGGTCCTCGACTATCATTCTTACCCAATTAAGTCCTCAACTATACAATTTTTACCCAATTTAGTCATTTGTCAATTTGACTGTTTGTTGACTGTCAAAAGTGGAAATAAAGTTGTAATTTTACAAGTTTTTTCCTTCCTCCTCATTTAGCAGCGCCAAACCATGTAGCAATAAGCTCCGGTTGGGTTCTAAACATGTCAGTATCGAAGTAGTGGTTATGCATTGGATAGCCCATGAATTTGATTTCCAACGATTTTTTTGACGATCGAAATCTGATCGGAGTGTATTGCTGCATGGTTTGGCGCTGCTAAATGGAGAGGAAGGAGAAATCTTGTAAAATTATAATTTTATCCCGACTTTTGACAGTCAACAAACAGTCAAATTAATACAGAGGACTAAATTGGGTAAGAATTGTATAGTTGATGACTAAATTGGGTAAGAATTGTATAGTTGAGGACTTAATTGAGTAAAAGTTACATAGTTGAGGACTTAATTGGATAAGAATGGTAGTTGAGGACCAAATTGGTAATTATGGCATAGTCGAGGGACTATTTTGGGTATTAACTCATTTAACTTCTATAATTCTCAATTTTCAATTATTCACTTCCGCATTATTCCGCTATATTCCTAACAAGTGTTATAGAAATATATATATATATATATTAATCTCAAAAAGAGTAAAAGAAAACAAATATATATATATATTAATCTCAAAAAGAGTAAAAGAAAACAAATATATATATATATATATATATATATATATATATATATATATATATATACGTGAGGAAATAAAAGAAAGCAAATGAAATGCTTGTAGAATGAATTACAATTGATATGTGATGCATTGAAAACAATGAAACTAAAACTATTTATACATGCAAGAAGAGAGATAAATGTGGCATGTACATTGAGGTAGGGAAACGTGGCTGCGGATTGAGGAGAGGAACGTGTGCGACATGGATGGTGTTGAGGATGACGCAATCGCCACAAATTTGAGCCACAAAACACATTAAATTCTAACAACAATTAGCAATGCATTTGAGCTTCAGTCCATGATCAGATTGAGTCAGCCACTTCATAGACCATGTAGCAAAGTCATCCTCCTCAACCGGCAGTGGGCAAGCCATCTCATTCCACAGAGGTTTTACAGAGACACATTCGAACATGAGGTGTAGTAGGGTCTCAGGATGCTGCCTACAAAGATGACAAATAGTAACCACACACATTATATTCTTCGTGCAAAGAGGGCCATCATGGTCGGAAGAACTCCATGGATACAACGCTATATAAAATTTAGGACCTTAATTAGGAGGAACCTTTAAATCCCACACTTTTCTCCGGTTAGGACAGACCGGCTCACCATCTTGCAGTGTATTCAAAAGTCTGTATCCATGCTTCACTGAATACTGCCCTTTGATGTCTCCTCTCCAACACCACACGTCGTCGAAGGAACTGGAAATAGGGATTTTGATAACCTGCTCAACATCTCGTGCTTCGAATAAACCAGTCAGAACAGATAAATCCTAGTCTTTCGTTTCTTGGTTTACTAAATCACTTACCTTCATATTCTGATGTTGAACAAGTGATGGAGTTCGAATGAAGGGATCGTGGACATCGGATAACCACGGATGTTTCTAGACTAACGTTTTTGAACCATCTCAAATAAGTTGAAAGCAACCCTTTCGCAGTATATCTTGGCCGGCTAAAATTGATCGGTAGCTAGGGTTGGCTCCTATTTTTGCCTCCAAGAAATGATGCATCATTCGGGAAATATCTGGCCTTATAAATCTGGGCTGCCAAAGATGTAGGGTTTGTTAATAAACGTCAATCTTGCTTCACAAGTAAAGCAATGTCGAACTTATTTAAATCCTTAAAACGAAGTCCTCTAACCGATTTGGGTTTACACATCCGTTTCCAAGAAATCCAACGGACACCCCCACCTTGGTTACCACGGTTGCACCACCAATATTGATTCATTATCCTTTCAATGTGATCACAAAATGATGAAGGAAGATAATAAATGCTCATAGTATAAGTTGGTAATGCCTGTGCAACACTTTTCAACTAACACTTCTTTACCTGTTCAGGAAAGAATCTTCTTGTACCAACCTCCTAGCTAGACGATGCCTTAATTTTGTTTCCCGATAGGAGAAACTTTCCCGTTTATTACGACCAATTCCCATTGGCAAACCCAAGTAAGTACCAATATTTGCGGCGGCATTAACATTCAGAACACCAATAACGCCATTTCGAGCAACATCGAATCTCCTGTATTCCGGCTAAAGATAATATATACATTATTTATTAAAATTCACAGATTGGCCGGATATGGATTCATAAACAGTGAGTCACTCCTTCACCGCTGCAGCCTCTTCAGAAGTAGCTATAAAGAAAAGCAAGCTATCATCGGCGAAAAATAATAATAATAATAATAATAATAATAATAATAATAATAATAATAATAATAATAATAATAATAATAAGTGAAATGTCATTTTTACCCTCATATTTAACCGCCCTAACACTTACTTAACGGAGAGGGGGGAAAATAGCCACTTCAAAAACAATTGAGGGGGATAAAGTGGTTACATAAACAACACAGGGAAAAAATGTGCTATTAGTAAACAACACAGTGGGAAAAAATGCCATTTTCCCTAAAACAAATAAAGGATGCTGGACTTGCAGCACGCCTAGAATAATGAAAACTCAAAAAGATAAAAAAGAAGAAATAACGAGGAGTGTTCATGGACGGAGGCAGAAATTCTGTTGAGGGGGGCGAAAAAGTACAGACGGATTCATAAATTTTTTCCAGTAAAAGCGAAACATTAAAACAAAAAAAAAAGATAATTTAAAAATAAATAAATTATCTAAAAAATATTGTTGGATATAGACGAAAAATAAAACACGTCGAAACTTAAAAAAAAAATATTCATAACAAAATATGAAACATAATTAATTTGATAAAATAATTTGAATTGAAAACACATTATAAATTACACATCTCATTATTAATATAAAAAAATGTTATATATATATATATATATATATATATATATATATATATATATATATATATATATATATATATATATATATATGTGTGTGTGTGTGTGTGTGTGTGTGTGTGTGTGTGTGTGTGTGTGTGTGTGTGTGTGTGTGTGTGTGTGTGTGAAATATTAAAAAAGTTGTTAAAAATGTGACTGTGTTGAAGTCATAGCGGAATGAGTAAAAAAAATTGTAAAACTATGTTAATGCTAGGAATTGAACCCTTGAACTTTATTATTACAAAACATGTGCTTTACCAACTAATCTAACTCATTTTTTGCTGACATTTAATAGTTTTTTTTACACTAATACTAAAACCTATACTATATATATATATATATATATATATATATATAAAGACTATATATGGGGTGGGGGTGGGGTAGCTGTCCCCCTGCCCCCCCCCCTCCCCCCCCCTTTGGCTCCGTCGCTGCGAGTGTTCAAAAATCAGGGAAGAAGAAGAAGGAGAAGAAAAAGGAGATTCAAAGAGAGTTCAAACCCTTCAAGCACTGCGTAAGCGGGCTTGGCTTCCTAGCGAAACCGTCGCTGCTTCCCCTCCCCCTTCAGGCAGCGAGATGAAGCAATTTTTTTTCCCGGCGAAACAGTCGATGCTTTCCCCTTCCGGCAGCGAGATTAATTGTGTACACGAAGGAGAAGGAGCAAATAACTTTTTTTTTAATAATGTAAAATGACAGTTTTGCCCCCAGTAATAAAAATTTTAAAAACATTTACGTTTTTCCGGCGACATTTGACCGGGTGGATCAAATGTGTTAAAAATGCATAGTTACGGGACTAAATTGTTAGTTTTTAAAGTCGAGTACTGAAATTAACAAGACCACAATAGTTATAGGACCAAAAGTGTAATTTTCTCTTTGGACAATTTAACCACTTACTATCAAAATCTTTCTAATTGTAGTGTTTACGTCAGATCTGGTTAAGTGGACGTCAATTTGAAGGGTAAAAACGTCATTTCCCCTATTGAGCGTATATTTCATCTTCATTCCCATCTGAATTATTATGTACATGCTGGAAACGTTGCATATCTCGACGAGAAATCCCGGGGGACATGGTCGTCATACAGGTAACCAGGGACGGAGGGAGAGGGGGGGCATGGGGGGCGGCTGCCCCCCCTCACTCCACCCCCACCCCATATATAGTATTTGTATGTATATATGTATATATAGTACATATTTTAGTATTAGTATAAAAAAACTATAAAATGTTAACAAGAAGGGAGTTAGAGTAGGTGGTAAAGTATATCTTTGGTAATAATGAGGTTAAGGGTTCTAATCTTAGCATCAACATAGTTTTACAATTATGAATATTTTTATAAAGTTTCGATGTGTTTTATTTTTCGTCCATATATTGTAATTATCTCTTTTGTTTTAATGTTTCGCCTTTTCTGAAAAAAATTCCTGAATCCGTCTATACTGTTTCGCCCGCCCTCAACAGAATTTCTGGCTCTGTCCCTGCAGGTAACCACTCTGCTCAAACCCGTCGTCGAAATTCAACGCGTAACTCACTGGGTAGTATTGGAACTTGGTGGGTTTGGAGTCGTGCTTGTTGAAGCGGCGGATAAAGGTCTCCTATTCTGGACCGGCGACGAGCTCCGACCACTCCCGAACTTTTTTTTAGTGCACTTGTACTCTTGGCCAACCAATCCTCTTTATGGCTCTCCGACGTCGGGATACGCTCCCAAGCGTCGGTTGACATCCAAGTAGCCAGCCGAAACTCGGAAGCCAGAAACAACAACCCCCTCTCCGTAATGCCAATCGAAACACGGAAGCCCCAAACACAACCTCATTCCTTTCACAACGTTGTTCCGTGCAAGTCTGAGGACTTGATGGTTGTTTCTTCTGATGATGGTGTGTCTGCTGAACTGCTGGTGTTGTCTGAAATGCTGCATCGTTTTCCCTCGACATGACATCTACAACATACATGTTTCCACTGTCATCCATGGCTAGCCCTTTTGAGTGGTTCATCCTTGCCTCTCTCAGCTTCCCATCCACATACCCAGAACACCTTTCAGGTGATCCAACGGCCAACATTGGGTGATTATCTGCAATGGCAAACAACCTTGTAATGAACAATCACTTGATGAAAAATTGTAAAAAAAAAATCTCAAAATTGGCATGGGCAATATCTTACACGGAGAGTGTGGTGTTGTGATCTTGAAAATGTTGCTGTTTTCATAATCCAAAATGAAGACCTTCCCGCCGGCGAAACCTCCACGGAGTATGGCTCAACTCCCAATTTGTTTCCATCAAAGATAGTTTCAATATTGTATTATTTATCAAATTTAATCTTGGAAAAAGATTTGAAAGGCAAGAAAAACCAGATCTTTAATGGTTGCTACACAAAACAAACAGACAAAAGAGGAAATTCTTAAAAAGCTTCTATTCTCACCTTGTTCCATATCAGATTTTAGCGACACTAACCATTTGAAAAGAGCAGCGACAACATTCGTGACAACCCCACAGACCACTTCTGCATACATACGTAAAAAAACAAATGAAAAAAAACAATAAAAATCCAAACTTGGGTCATGACAATAATGCAAAACGCACTTACTTGCAGTAGGTGTTGATGAAGTTGACGAACATCCAAGAATGAAAAATCCCGTCTATGGTCTCCACCACCATCTGCCGTCATTACCGCCTAGCCACGTAGTCCACGTGGTCTGCTCTGTTGCACCGTCGACAAAGAGAAGACGGAAGAGGGAGGGAGAAGAGAGGGCGTGAGGAGGGAGGAGGAAAGTGACGGAGGTCCATGGTCTTGCCGTCGGAGAAGAGGAAGAATATAGAAGGAACGAATATAGTGAAGAGGAAGGGCTGTCAGTTGTGAGCTATGGAGGGCTGTCGGCCATGTCCCCCCGGGATTTCTCGTCGAGATATGCATCGTTTTCGGCATGGACATAATAATTCAGACATGAATGAAGATGAAATATATGTTCAGTAGGGGAAATGACCCTTTTTTCATTCAAATTGATGTCTAATTAACCAGGATCGAACGAAAAGACTACAATTAATAAGATTTTAATACTTAAATGGCTAAATTTTTCAAATTAAAAATCTAGAATCAATTGTGAAAAATTACCATATTCCAAAACCATTGCTTGCTGGAATTAACTCTAAAGTTAGTTTTTTATATTATTTCTAAATGTAAAATAAGTTAAATTATTGTTGATTTGACAGGCGACATCACCCACTTCACCATTGCTCTGGTTTGTCAAACCAAAAGGGGCCACTCTAGTCTCTATCACCCACGCAAATGTAGAAGGCAATACCAAAAAGGAGCTTCACTCTCCTAAAACTCCATGGCTTCTGCTTCCATATGCGACCGACTGCCCGTTGACTCTACAATTTCTCGCTGGACATACGATGTTTTCTTGAATTTTAGAGGTGAGGACACGCGGAGAGGCTTTACAGATCATCTTTATGCTGCATTGGACAGGTTTAGCGTCTACACATTCAAGGACGATGAAGAGCTTCGTAAAGGGGACTACTTCCCCATTCAGCTCTTGGAGGCGATTGAGGGGTCTAAGATTTCAATCGTCATAATCTCCAAAACTTATGCCTCCTCCAGTTGGTGTCTGGAGGAGCTGGTGAAGATCTTGGAATGTAAGGAGATGTTAAACCAGGTGGTTCTTCCCATATTCTACCATGTTGATCCTTCCCAGGTACGCAAACAAACTGGCGGTTTTGGTGATGCGTTCACTCAACATGGAGAACGATTTGGGGCAGATAGAATTTGTGCGTGGAAAGCTGCACTCACTAAGATTGCAGGGTTTATAGGATGGCATTTGAAAGAAGTCGGAGACAGGTATATATGCCTCTGTGTTCTTTGTCTTTTTCAGATTTTATCAGCAACACCAAATATGTATATGTGTCTAACCGCTTTGTAAAATTGATAATTTAATTCAATATTTTGACGGCTTAATTCGAATTTAGGCTATAAATGCTCCATATTATTAGAATTTATAAGAATTTGAAGTATTGGTTAGGTCTGAATCAGAGTATATCAATGAAATTGTGGAGGTGGTCCAGCAGGAAGTGAACCATACATACTTGAATGTTGCTAAACACCCTGTTGGAATTGATGATCGTGTGAGTAAAATTCATGCTTTATTACAGAGTGGAGCAAAGGATGAAGTTCGTATCATTGGGATTTATGGCATGGGTGGTGTAGGGAAAACAACCCTTGCAAAAGCCATATTTAACAAAATTTATAGAATGTTCCAAGGTAGTAGCTTTCTTGCTGATGTTAGATCAAAAGGTTTAGACCGCTTACAAGAGAAGCTTCTTTGTGAAACTCTCAAGACAAAGAAATTTGAAGTTGACAATGTTCACCGAGGAACTAGTTTGGTCAAAAAAAGACTTGGATTAAAAAAGGTTCTCATTGTTGTTGATGATGTAAACCATATAAGTCAATTAGAAGCATTAGTTGGAGAGCGAAATTGGTTTGGTCCAGGCAGCGTAATTATAATTACGACCAGAGATGTTCACTTGCTAAATTGCCTTGGAATGGATGAAAAGTACGAAGTTGAAAGGTTAAGTTCCTGCGAATCTTTGCAAGTCTTTAGTTTGCATGCCTTTAGGAATCCAGTCCCGTTGGAGGCTTATGCAAAACTATCAAATATGATAGTAAGTTATGCTGGGGGACTTCCTTTGGCACTTACAGTTTTAGGTTCACATTTTTGCGGGAGAAAGTCAATTCAAGAATGGCAAGATGACTTTGAGAAATTAAGAAGGATTCCTCATGAAGATATTTTGAAGATTCTCAAAATTAGTTATGATGCACTTGACGATGATAGTCAAAGGATCTTTCTTGATATTGCTTGCTTTTTTACGGATGGATATTTCGATTCAGAAGAGATTGTTAGGATATTGAATGGTTGTGGTTTCTTTGCTCAAAGTGGAGTTAGAACTTTAATTGATAGATGCTTGTTAAAAGAAGATCTTTGTATGCATGATTTAATTCGAGATATGGGAAGAGAAATTGTTCGCCAGGAATCTGTTATGCAACCTGAGAAAAGAAGTAGATTATTTTTACATGATGAAGTTTTGGATGTGCTTGTGAACAACAAGGTAAAACGCTCATTTGTACTTGATTTGCTTTATATGCCATTACTGCGACGAAGAAGCGCGCCATGACAACCAAAACTGCCCGCTAAAGCCACCAACGAAAAAAAAAAAACAAAGACCAAAAAGAACGGAGGACCAACGAATTGAAACTACAGAAAAGGGGGCACACACCTTATTAACTAGTGCACAAAATATTTCCTGGTAGGGCACATTACTATTTGCTTAGATTCCTGTAAGAACATGCCGTTTTATTCAACAATATATTACGCATTATCCGATAATAATTACACACATTGCTAAAGAAATAAATACATCAACTACCCCCGCCCCTATACTCCAAGCCAATAAACACTAACAGACCTAGTGACTCCAACCTAAGATTTCAGTTCAAAAATCCTGTATTCAACACCCTACTATGCATTACCCTAGGAAAACACCACACCGTTTAAAAAAAAAAAAAAAAACCAATACGCAATTACAAAGTTTTAAAACCGTATGACAGTCTGCACCCTAAAAATATTACGCCCAAAACGCCGCGACTGCAAAAGTATAAAAAAGCACGGACCGAACCCAACGGGAGTCTAAAGAGATGAACCTACACACCAGGGGCACACACATTATTAACTAGTGCACAAACCAGATCCTCGTAGGCCACATTACCAATAGATAAGAGCCATATTCGAACATACAGTTTAATTCAACATCATAATATGCATAATCCAAGAATACTAACCCACTTTGTTAAATAAAAAAAATAAAAAATAAAACCACCCCAGAAAAATTACACACTTAGTTTTTTTTTTAAAAAAAAAACCACAAGAAAAGTTACACCAAAAAGGTCGCACCTGCTGCATAATAGAAAAACACAAACCAAAACAAGCGGGGATCCAACGAGATGAAACTACAAACAAGGGCACATATTCAAATACACAGTGCACACAATAAATCCTCGAAGGGAACATGACAGTAGACAAAGAGACACATAAAAAGACCAACAACTGAAGGCCAACAATAGATTAATACAACAAAAAAAACCCAGCAACTAAGATATACACAGAGTTTAAGGGTCAAAACAGTAACAAAACGACTAGGAATACAGAAATCGTGACACTGCACAAAATACAAAAACCCATACACTACCCAACAAAATAGTCACCCACCAAAAACACTATATAACTACACTACGGCCCTACTCCCGCTTCCGGAAAGATATCGCACTGCATTTGCCACATTGCTTGCATGGTTGGCATTGATATCTGCAACGCAAATCGCCTTCAAGTACTGAAACCGCAAGCGCTCAAGACCAGCTACGTCGCCTTTGACTAGACCACACTCCCATCTCGACACCCCTTCACCACCATAAGACTCCATATGGCGCATAGCATAAACACCACTGTCAACTTTGTTACGCGAGTCACGCCACTTCATCTGCATCCTCTTAGGCACTAAATGAAGGCACAAACCCTGTTTATACCCCAGGCCAACAGCTTGGAAAAAATCGAACAACAATAATTGCTACAAAAAAAAAAAAAACAAATGATTATCATCTACCACCCCAAAAGCAACGCACAATGAAAAACCCCAGAAAAAGAAAAGAATAGCAACACAACATACCAAATTATCAGGAGTGTCACCATACTTATTCGAAGTGGCCTCCGTCGAAGCAGAACTATCAATAATGTCAATGCGTTCATTCACAAAGTCCACACACACAACATAGAAAAGATTGCTTTGCATAACCGGCAGAAACAACTGCAAAACAGTTTACAAGACATAATAAAAAAATAACCCAAAAAAAGCAAGTAAACGAGAACAAAACTATATACGAACACAAAACCCCCCCAAGAGGAACACAACCACTGAAACAGTGCACACTAACAAGATTGCCCTACCACCATGGCTTTTAAGGGCACACAAGAACAATGCAAGCAGCACACAACCACAAAAAGCAATGCACACTGCTAACAACTACCCCCTAACACACGTTTAAGAGAGACGACAGTGGTCAGAAATGCTCACCAGATTCACCTCCCCCATTGCTTATAAGGGGTGAGGGCGAGATGAGCGGACAAAGCAAGAGAAAACAAACGCACGGCCTCGGACTGTGAATCCAGAGCAAGCCCACCAATATCAAGCTGAAAACCCGACAACAAAATCCATAAAGTTAAATGCCGGCAAAAACAATCTAGGAAATTAGGAGAGAAAAACAAGAGACCACTAACATACAAACTTATAGTGGAGGAAGTCGAGGCAAAAACCCGCGATGGTGCACCAGGCCTCTTGCCAAACTCACAACAATTCAAGATTACAGACCAAGCATCAAGCACTGCAACACTAACAGCTGACCCTGGAGTCAACGACCGTAAATCCCCACGAAGTACCACGCAACCACCGTGAGAAAACAACACCTCATCCCTAAGCCATCACCATAACTCAACAAAAGGGGGAAAAAACAACACCAGGGAAACTGCCGAACGACTAACAATTAAACAAATACTTACAATGCGTCGCTACCACACTCCAACACCCACTTGCTGAACACACCATCATCAACCACATCAACTGAAGGCAAGGGCACATCAGCATATAGATCCGCTGCACGGATAGAATCCGGCATGGGTCGAACTGGCCTAACAGGATTCAACGGGGCAACACAGACCGGGGAAGAATCACGACATAGAACAACTTGCTATGAATTTGCAAATAGATTAAAAAGAATTTTTTTTTTTAAAAAAAAAGAAAGAATACGAATATAAATACCAACCAAAAGCACACATTTACCTCAGCAGGGGTATCAAACACATGCCCAGCACTACCCTCAACCACATTACTATGGCCCGGAGCTCCCTCATCTGAACCCTGAGCTGGAGAGGCAACCGGCACATGATCCCCACGGTCTACTACCACGGGGACATCCCCAACCACACCCAAAGGACGAGCCACCTGCACGTGCTCACGAGAAACTTCCTGCACACAGTTCAAATGGCCCACAAGAGCAATGAAAACTTATTAAAAACACACACAAAGCGACCAGAGTTGAGCACACATTAAAAACAAAAAGGGCACAAACAGAAACCACCTACGGCACACAAAAAGTGAAAGACCAACAAAGAAGCAAAATACCTGCTCCGGAGGGTCAACACCCACACCAAGACCACTACTTTGTTGATTAATTCCCATAGCAATATCAGCACCGAAATCCACAACAACACCACCAAACTCTTGCGTAAGCCCAAGACTAAACGATGGCATATGATTCAATAGAAGCCTCGCCATAAGGGCACGCTCAACCTCAGCCAACTCACGAACATTATCAGGATTAGCCCATAAATCATCATCAAACTGAGACAATGTGGGCTGCGAGGTGGTGCCATCGGAGTCCAAAGGTATAGAGGGTTGGGTTTTAGACCAGTAAGCATCTGACCAACCTCAACCAACTAGCATAAATTCGCATCAGGAGCAGAACATACGGCTGCCTCCCGTCCCAACTCCACAAGGGTAAGTATGCTCCGAGAAATCACCCCAATCTCATGAGCATAGCGCTCAACCAAAGACTACAATGAAAACAAACAAGAAACAAAGCAACAGATAATCAAAAACACTGAATCACTAAGTGCACACACAAAAAAGAACCTGAGCATATAACACTACCCTATTACGAAAGAACAAAAATATACCTTGCGCAGGCAACCAGGAGGCATAGAAGGACCAGGCGAACCCCCTAGATTAACCGGTACTTCCACACCCGGATCATCGCGATGTGCAGCCTGATCATGAACCACATCAGCATCCACACCCTGGACAGGCTCCAACTCACCAACCCCAAACCCCCCAGCACGAATCTCCGACAACTCTCGCTCACGCAACAACTTGGAAGTCCACCCTCGAAATGCTGGAATAGCACGAGGAACAACACGAGGACCATGCCGAACCCGATCAAAGTACAACAACTAAAATGAACACAAAAACCAAAATAAAAACAAGGCAAACACATCAGCCAACAACGAGACATAGAATGAAAGCTATAAAAACAAGGTAGAGGGCTTAAAACTGAAACAAACTTACAATCAAGAAAAGAATGGGGCCAGTAAACCGGTGGTCGTTAGCTACACGCCATAATGCATGCGTAGAAAGAAGCTCCTCAATAACAAACCGACACCAATTCAAACTACCAATCGCAGAAACATCATCCTAGTGGTGAAATACCATCTGGTTACAATACCCATTACTCATGCAAGATATGAGGGAGCTAATGACCATCACCATAAAATGCCGCTTAAACCAGTCCCCACCCTCAAGATCATCCCGAATCCACTGGGCTACCTCCATTGGTTTAACATCATAACAATCCTTTTCAAACGTCCCACGCCAAGCAGTCAATAACTTACTCTTCGCATGCCGAGCACGGCGTGTAACAACCACTTCCCCACGTGGGAACCCCATGATAGCTGCAACATCCTCCTCCCAGATCTCTAAAAACTCACCCTCACCCAATCGAAGAGACCGAGCTTGGGGGTCTCCTTAATCTTGAGCTCCAGCAACGAACCAAACCCGAGATCACGAATATCTTTCTTCTGTAGAGAGGTAAGATCCGCCAACGCCTTAACTAACTGGACTGGAGGGACCCTAATTTTGGCACTTGGAAACCGCAAACTCTCCTCCGGAGTACATTCAGACCGCGGAGCAGCAACGACAGGCTCGTCGTCCACGGGATCCACGAGATCAGCCTCCGGGCCATCACCAACAGCCTCTGGGGCATCAACGACAACCTCTGACTGCACACGATTCGCGGAATCCCCCTCTGGGGCATCAACAATAGGCTCTTGAAGCACAGGAATCACAGGAATCGGCAGAGGGTCAACAAAAGCATCATCATCAATAAACCCCCCAGATGAACAAACCTGTAGAGGTCCATCATTTGCCTTCTTAGCTACCACCCACCAACACAGATAGACAAAGTTAATAAAAAACAAAATGCAAAGCGAACGACACAGCACACACCACCCGAGCACATACCAAAATGCACAAGGGAACACAGAACCACAAACCACTGCACACAAAAAAGGCCACCGAAGCCCACAAAC